TAATTTCTTTTTTTTTTTTTTTTTATTAAGGGAATGCCATTGATGAAAAGAACATAATATTGTTGATGTGCGATGAGAGGTGAATTGGTTGTTAAATGCTTGTTAAAAAAAAAAAAAAAAAAAAGTGGAAAAGTAATGAAGCAAATGAGCGGCGCAATAATTGTTGAAATCCCACACAACAGTAAATATTTGCCGCTGAAATCAGTCCAAAAAAGTTAATAAATGAGCAGTGGCTGTAAGCCAACGCATTTGGCGAAGCGTAATTAGAAGAAATACGAAAGCTAAGGAAATAAAGCTCTGAATAAAGCATTAAATTAAATGAAGTTGTAGTGATGAATAAAATAAGAAGAGACCATAGATACGAAAAGTCTTTTACTCTACCATTAAGGGCTCTCATTCATCTGTGTTGCGAAAAGGTTTTTTAGGGAATTTCTCAAAATGATGCACTAGTTTGCATGTGCAGTGTATTGCAGGAAGTGAAACTAATGAAAATGAGTATGGCAAGGAACGGAGGCACATTTATTCAGCCACTTCAAAATGCTTTGAAATGGGGAAAAGAAAGGGTGATGAGTTTATAGGACAGTTAAAAATAATTTTATTTCGATGCTATAAAATTGCACCTCAAGTTAAATCACCAAGTCCCTATAAAAATAATCAGTAAGGTTGATTAAAATATCATAGGTAACAAATATAGTGTTTTGATTGATTCTATGTAAGTTCCTTAATCACATTAGCAGGAGAAATCAAAATAAAGCGGCAAAATATAAAGTTTTTTGCACTCTTCATATTAAAAAAAACGACCGTAAACTGAATCACCAATTTGTTTCTTTGAAGATTTAGGAAATCGAGAAAAGTAAAATGGCATTTTTCCCCAATTAAGAGACGACGTATCGTATCAACTCTATAAGGAGACTTTATTGGCATCAATACCGAAATGGTTCTAGAAAATTTAAAACTTTAAAACACCACTCGTTTAACTCCAATTGTTTTTATAGTGCAAATTTTTAACTACTCTAATAAAAGACAAATATAATCCACTTATACGTTCAGAAAAAAAAAAAGACAGCAAGGAGTTATTAGCCAGCGGAATGAAGTGGTTCGAGGAGATGAATAAGTTAAATAAGTAAAGTAAATTTAAAAAAAAAAAAATTGGAGAAGGGAAAAGTGAAGTAATAAAATTTAAAAAAATCTGTAAATAAAATTAACCTCACTTATAAAGAGATGCGAATAATATCATACTGAAAATGGGATAATAACAGTTTGATCATTTGTTTTAATGTGTTTTTAGAATAATTTAATGTATTAAAATGCACATTTAACGTAAAAAAAACCCTCTATTCTCTCTCTCTACACTCTCTCCCCTCCCCTCACCTCCCTCTCCTCCCATTTTTCTCCTCTTTCAGGTCATTTCAGTATTAAAGCAACAAAAAACAATTGCTAGTTTAGTAAATAAATAAGTTTTAAGAGATAATGTTGAAAAAGAGCAAAGTTCATTGCAAAAGTCAAATTGTTTATATCTTTTGACGACTGGCATTTGCAAGTAAGGTACAGGCACTATAAAGTATGTGTCATGCGAAAACTTTCAAACTCTACCTTTAAAGCTTGAATTCCAAATCTTCCATTCTATCAATTTCTACCCCATTTTATCAAAAGTATTTGGTATAAAAGATGCAACTGATTCACAATTATAAGAGTTCTGAACCGGTCGGGTGGAGTTGTATATATTTTGCATATAATTCATATTGATTTAACTAGATGGTTCGAAAAAGATTCGCTAGAGAGAACTAGAAGGCTTTAGAAGCCAAATTTTATGTGAATTATGTATTTTGCAATGAATGAGAAGCAATGTGTTGGTGCGAGAAATTTCTGATTGGAATGGCGGAACTTATGAATATTTTTCACCGTTAGAAAACCAAAATTTAATTCTCAGATGACAAAAATGAGTCATCAAATTCAATTTATTAATAAGTTACAGGTTGCCTCCATGTATTCCATGTTAGCAATGATTAAAGACTGCAATTTTTTCCAATAAAGACAGAACTTTCCAAAAAGATCTAAATCAAATTAAGCACCAAAGCGATAAATTCGCTGGATATTACTCGGTAGAAGGGAAGATAATCATACTCAATTAAAAATAAATGATCTTTAATCAAAAAGATGAGCACAAAACATTGAACCCGCTCACATATAGTCTTAGATAACTAAAGTTCAAAAGATCAAAAGGCTAGTTGTATCTGAAATAAACACTATATGCAGATCGCGCTTTGAAGAAGCACAGTCATAACTACACAGTATTTAAGAGATATTGTAGTAACAATCATAAAGCATGGCCTTTTTCGAATTAAAAAAATCCTTGAAACTTTGCAAAAAAGTAAGGTTATTTTCGAATTAAACTCGAATAATTTTCATATGTAGATTAAAATTCCAGCACATCCTGTTAAAGTGAGTGTAGTGCTGGCAAAAGAAAGTTATTTTCTGTGAAGGAATAAATTGGTCTCAGTCAAAAGTTTGTCGTTGGGTAAACTAAAGTTTTCCTTCATCCCTCTTACAAACTGTCATTTCGTTGTTTTCCTTGCGAACTGCCGCTTGCCAATTGAGCTTGCTTAGCATTTGTTGGCAAATTCGTGCAGCTATTTAATATATTTCATCCGTTTAAGGCCTCTTCTGACGAATGTTTTCTTTAACTTCAGTGCAATGCAATGCAAGTGAGTAGTTAAACTGAAGCTATTCATTATTTAAGCTGTTCACACAAAGATGAATCGCAATGAACTTCAATTATAGAAGTGTTTTGTTAATTTTGAAGATTATTTCATCGTCGACCATCTTTTTCTCAGTGAATTACTGACCTACACGTATCCTCCTCGCAATTTTTCTTTATTTTGCTTAATCTAACGAAGCAGATTGTCGAATCTAAATTCCATCTTTCAATTGTAGAGGGAATATATTCGCCAAGTGTATCACATATCCATAAAAACATTAAAATTAATGTCCCATTTCGAAATTATCGTTCTTTGCTTCCAATTATATTCAAAAGAAAGGGTCACTTCAAAATCGTCTCACTTGATTTTCTTTTTGTTTAAATACACATGTCTTCTCTAACAAAAAACATTTTTTATTGAAGGACCACATATCCATAAATTAATGATGGAGAAATGAAAGAGGAAATAATATCAAATTTAGATAAAAATTGTTAAAAAGAACAATCATTCTTAAAACATTTGAAACTAAACTAAATGTTTCAACGGATCAATATATCGAATAGAGAGAGATCCAAATATTTGATCCAGGAGCAACAAAATTACCGATAATAAACTTCGATGGTGTGATGTATATTTAGTAACAATGGAGGCATTAAGATTGCTAACCTTCTGTTGCAATTCTTCCTCACTCCTTTAAATTTTCAAGATATTTTGCAATAGATTTTTGATTCTGGAATTTTATCTTGCTATAATTTTTTTAACGAAAGCCGATAGCAAAGAATGGATTCCATATCAAAAGATTGAAAAAGTGACAAAGTAATATGGAACTAAAAAAGATATCTCTTAATTACAATAAAAATTTTTTGGAATTGAAGTGTTAGAAAAAGATATTTAAGAACTGTAGGATGAAAATTTGCATTTCTTGTAGTGGTGGTATGGTAAAGAAGTTATTCTCGATTCAGCCGCATTTAAATTATAAAACACTTAACTAATGAAATACAAATATTAAAATTTTTCAGTTTTGCTCATAAATCGGACATATATTAAAATACAAATATTAAAATTTTCAACTCATAAATGATTGACACTACGAAAATAACTGCTCAGTATCGTTACTTTTTAAAAAAATACAATCAATTGTTCTAACTCAGCAGTACGGCCAACAATAAAAAATTGAATATATTAATTGCAATGAGACTTTAAAGTAATGCTAGGAAAGTGATTGTTAAGCTTGAAAAAATACCTCACTAATCTTTGAAGTTCTTTAGGAAATCCTGCTTCACTCTTTTTCTTTCTCTTTTCTACCTTTTGTATTTTTTGTTTCAGTTTTAATTCCAACATTTACACTGTTCTGACTCTCATAATCACTGTAAGACAGTGTGTCGATTCCTTAGAAAAAAAATCAAACCATCATGGTGCCGTTCTTGCAACAGGTATTCTACAGTGCAGCCGTGCAGGAATTTCGTTATACAATCCTATGATAAAATCATGTTTTGTGATAAACCTATGAATCAGATTGCTATATTTCCGATTTGTCTGATCTTGAATGATTAACAATTACATAGTTCAGATGGATTTTATCACTCGAATTTTTCTACTTCTGCCGACATATCTTATGACAGAAGCGAAAGATTAATCAAACAAAAAGCGAATGGCGAACAGAGACCATAAATGTTACGGGTACATCCGAAAACAAATGCTCAGGTAGCTAGGACCGATCCCCCCTCCCCGTCCCCCTAATTTACAATACCATGTTTAATTGTGTGCACGACGCTACTGGTTATATCGGAAAACAGATAAACCTATGAATAATGATTAAAAGATATCAGGACAAAAAAAAAAAAAAACTACAAAAGACTGTTTTCAATCTTCGAAAAAATAGTGCGGTAATCTTGAAGTGCAAATGCTCACAGTGAGAACAAATGCCACTCCATAACTGATAGATAATATGATATATGATAAATCAGGTCAATTGAAAGCATCACAACAAGATGACAATGATAAGGATCGGATATGGAATAGGAGGTGGAACATGAATTCCTGCATAGGTGAGCTTTTTTTTGCATCGTAATAGATTTCACAACATTTGCCTCATATTTCACGTAGGACTGCATTAATGAGGCGTATTTAAGTCAGAATGCTCATCATACGGTAGTTGAGCGACAATACATTTGCTTCATCCAAAAGCATGTAAATGCATTTGTGTTGATGAAATGTAAAAGACGTCGTACAGAAGAGCGGAAATAAGTAATCAGTGAAACCTCTTCCTTTCATTATGGTCGAAGTATGCAATCAGTAATTCTACACTGATTCATCATGAACACTCCAATTTGGCCAGTATGGATTAACATAATCAAAATCAGGGAATTCATAGCCTTCAAGGTTACGCAAAATGTCAACATCACAAGCACTCATTTTCACTGATAACTTTCTGAACTGCGAATCGAAATTCTCCGTCGATTCAGGGCTTTTCTGCAGATTCAATCTTATTATGACATCATTAAAGTCGTTTTTAAAGTAATATGCAAATTGTGATGAAGCAACTCATGGTTAGCATCTGCTGATTTTATGTGTCAGCTAATTAGTTTCTGAATGATACTACTATTTGTAACTATTATCAAAAAGCTCGAACCAATGTTGTATATAGCAAACAAAGCCTCATTGTATCTACAAATATTTAAACTTGAACTATGAGTTGGCAACCACGGATTTATATCTTAAACGTTGAAAATTTCTCAGTTTTATATAGCTTAATAAAATTTCAAAAAATCAACATGAATCCATGATGAAAAAGAGCTGATCAAAATTATTTCATTGTATTCCGAAATGTTGCTAGAAACAATGTGATAGCAATTTGAATTAGCAGATTACTTACCAATTTTGGTTTAAAAGGTGGTTGAACTTGCCGCCTTTCAATCTTATACCAGTCAATTCGTTTAAAGAATGGATGTTCCTGAAAATGGAGTTTTCATAACGATGGAACACTTTATTATCGTTGACAACATGAAAAGTTAATAATCGTCATCCAAATGGTATTGAAAATAAAGCCAATAAATTGTAAGATGGGATTTATAAAAAGAAAAAAAAAATGACATTTTTGTCTTTCGAGAAATATGTGGAAAAAAATGTTTTGTGACTAGCACTAATATTTTAGAGAGAAGAAGAGATCAGTATCGATCATTCATCACAGCACTGAATATTTTCAAGATATAACAAAGCCTTTCTGACGATATTTTTAAGAAAAATAAATTTTTGAAACGAATTACAAACTTTAATTTCTCTAACGGCCAACTGACCACAACCTAGGCGTTTCTCAGGACTTTTCTGTAGCAACGCCTTACAAATAGAAACTGCTTCTTTGGACATTGACTTCGGGTATGATATGCTGTGATCTGTTATTGCTGCAAACATAATTTCGAGACAACAGCAGACTTTAAATATCTCCAAAATAAACATTACTAATAGTCGCAGTCATCCCTTGCCGTAGCTAACCGGTCTCTCAGTACATCTAATAAATTAATTATGAATCTTACTGAGCTATAACTAATTTAGCTCGAATATACTTTTTGCTACTTCGTATTTTTTAAACAGTTCTATTAAATTTGATACCTGCGAATAATTCATCTTCGTCTTCACCATCGAAAGGCGGCTGGCCAGCAAGCATTTCAAACAGCAATACTCCATAGGCCCACCAGTCAACTGACTTATTATATGGTTGATACAATATTATCTGAAAGGATGCTGCATGTAAGAATTTAATGAACTGTGATCACAATAAGCAAATCGAAGATCACATTTCAGAACACAATTATATTTATTTCGTAGAGTATTTATACACCGGAAGTTAGCTACGTGTCTCACAGTCATCCCTATTAGCGATGTTGAAATGATACATACTTCCGGAGCAATGTAATCGGGTGTACCGCAAAACGTTTTTGTTTTTGCATTACCGATGATGTTTTCTTTGCACATACCAAAATCCGTGATTTTAATATGCCCGTTTGTATCCAACATAACATTGTCCAGTTTGAGATCACGATAAATAATGCCTTTGGAATGAAGAAAGAACAAACCAATTGCTATTTCAGTAGCATAAAATCTGCAATAACAAACTTATGGTCATCAAACATGCTTCAAATGTTTGTCGAAATTGGACCGCTAGAGCTGGAAAACTGATAATTTTATATTGCTTATGTCAAGCACTCAAGCTGATTGAAGCTTTGATTCAGACATAATTTAATCTAAACAAAGATTATTACTACTCACGCAGCTACTGGTTCTTTGAACTTTCCCACTTGTTGTATTTGATACATAAGATCACCACCACTCACAAATTCCATTACAAAATATAAACGATCCTGAAATAAGCTTTTTATGTGCAAATCATGTTTCGAAATTTAGCACTTTATGATTTAGAATAAGATGCAGTTGCAACTTTAAGTAGTTTGCAATTTAATGGCAAGAAAGCGTGAGAATGATGAGCTCATTATAGTGAAAAAAACTACTGAAAACAGTTTAAAATGAAGGACATGTATTTCAAATAAACAAATCAGATGTCGTTTGCAAAGATAACTGCCAATCAACTACTTAGCTAGAAAAGGACGAAACTTTCACCGAAGTTTGGAAGCATGAATAGAGGGTAACGAGAAAGGGTGGCTTGTCACAAAGAGACAACACCCGCTTTTCAGTCATCGCACATTCCATATCGTCGTCTTGAACAATAACATCCTTTTTCAGTATTTTCACTGCGAACAGCTCCTTGCTATCCTTATGCTCACCAAGTAATACCTAAAAAGATAAAAGAAACGGAAACATGTAGTTTGCTTTTGAATAGTTTTAAAAGTTGAAAAGAGTAACCTTTCCAAAAGAACCTTTTCCAAGCACAGATAGAAAGTTAAAATCAGTAGATTTGATGGTGTTTTGTTGTTTCAGCTCAGACTGAAGTCGTATTGGTGATTGCTGCAAGATAGGTTGTAAATTTACTTAAGGCTTAGCAATACAGAGACTAAACGCAAGCGACTTTCACAAACACAAGTTCTCGCTCATTTTCCTCTCATTTGCCATTGCGAATTAACCGGTAACTCAGTTTGACGATAGAAATCAAGAAGGGATCAAATTACGCTTCCTAAATCATCTGTTGTTTCCAAATTCCATTGTTTTTGATTTTTGCAGGGGAATTAAATTCCAGCTTGTTTTTCATTTTTTTTTTTTTTAAATCACCAGCATTAACATGTATTTTTCAGAATTCTAAACAACTTAAAATTTTTTTATTAAAAACTTTAAACATATTCGTTTCAGTCTCAAATGGAATTAGTTTGAAAGTACACAAAGTTATATTCCGATTTCACCTTTTTCTGTCGTATCTCCATTTCATCAATTTTGCTCCTGATTTTCTCAATTTCGGCTTCAGATTCAGGATTGACTTTTACGCTATAGAATTCCCCTTCCTCCTAAAATCTCGTTACATTGTTAAATTTAAACTGAATAAGTTCATCTAAAGTCTATTCTAAAGTCTATCTAATAGAAGATAAAGCAAAGAATAACAGATGAAAAAGCAGTCAGTCAGAAAAACTCACTGCGCTAAGTAGTTTGTACCAACCCTCAACAGATTCCTTCATCAACTCACTGATGCCAAATGAAAGAGAACCCATAAAATCGTTCCTAGAAGTACGATCCCAATCCCAAACTTCGACAGATAGCCTTTTACCAGCATCTGCTGCTTCCAATTTGCTAAAATTTAATTCAAAAAATACTTAAGACTTGAATATCTAAGTGCATATGGATAGTTTAGACTAAGCCATATGGAATCAAAACTTATTGGTAAGCAATAAATGAATTTTCTTTTGATTTATAAGCATAAACAGATGATTTAGGAACAAATAAAGATACTTACTATTCAAAACATTCATTCCACACAGGATTCAAGGTGGATCTGATTGTTTTACTTTTCTTCTTGGATTTTGAAGAATGATCATCTGGTATCAATTTCAACTTGCAGTAAGGATCGGAAAGACCATTTGGATCCATAGGTATTAAATTACGTGCCTCAGTCACTAAAAATAGGCAGAGATGATTGAAAACACCCTGTCTTACTTCATCAGCGAATAGGGAACCAACCCTCTGTCTGCAGCCTTCTAGTTTAGTTTTCAATAATATTTGTGCTTACTATTAATTTAACCACAATAAGAATTTATGAACAGTGCTTTAGTTCATAATCAGATATGGAGCTCTCACTGAATGTTCATTTTATAGCCGAAAGCGTAGTAAAAAAACCAACAGGAGATAATATTATTAAAAGTGCTTAAATGCCTAACAACGAACGGGCATGTGTACTGGGTAGAAGTTTTCGCCTATTTTTCGAAAGAAGCAATAACAAAAGTAATTAAATACCAAAAGAAAATTGAGGAAGCCTTCAAACCTACGGAATATCACCTGTAAGCAACAGTATTACTTTCTGTCACTAAATTAAAACCAGAATGCAATCATACTTACTGCTTTCACAATGTCTCTGACATCTAATGAGATATACTTCTTTTTATCTTCTACTCATTTTTTTTTTCTTTAAATATGTCATTTTATTTTTTTAAATACTAGTGATTCATTATAAGGATTTAAACTCAAAACTCATTCAGAGGAGATCATCAAACTCATTACAAACCTACAAAGAATGAATTCAACGTTTTGAAAGTCACAAATGTTATCATTCCGCCATCTGTTATGCTACACTGTTAACTAGTTAACACTAGTTGATTCTAACTACTGTAATATTTAAGATTGGAAAATAGTTTAAGATTTGTTTCTATTGAAATAGTGAACAGCTAATCACACCTTTAACTTGCAGAAGATCATTGTCCACTCGAATTGAAAGATGTATCCTACCGCGTCTTTCGATGTAATCTGTTCCGCACATATCAGGCACATATTTAACACATTTATGGTGCACGTTGACATCACAACACTCACATTTTTTACCCTAAAAATGGTGCAGAATTGTTTGCATTTTTCACCATTACTGATTAAAAATCAAAACAAAATTATTAAGCTGACAACCTGATGAATGATACCATAAAGTAAAGATCCACAATGATCACAAAATGTTGGCGACGAATATGAGTGCACTTTCCATTTATGTTGTTGTCGTGGATCCTAAAAAATGTAGAACTGATTGTATCAAAAATACTTTTTCAGTCCCGCACCTTTCGATCATTGCACAAATTTTGACCCAAAAAATTCATCCTTGAGAATGAAGCCTCGAGAAGAACATAATGGAATTCGAGGTATAAATGCAAGTTTTTTTTCCTAGCATTCGCCAAGAATTATAAGTGTGTACCAAACGAAAACATGTCATATGAGAAGTATGGAACTAACATCAGTATCAACGCCTTTGTCAGCACCAGGACATTGAAAATTGACAAACTGATGACATCTTTTATGTACTACAAGTGCGCATACTGTAATTATTTAATTTAGATGTAATTTCAAAGCAAATTAATCCCAAAATGTCAATTTGGGGCAGAGAAATATTAAGAGATTTTAAGTTGATAGTTTATGAGTTAAGATTTTAGGAAGACACTGGAAAGGAGAAAGAATAATGACTTACCCTGACACTGAAAGCCCTGCTTATTAAGACCCCAAAGAAATTCCTTGCAATGTGAACAAAACGTTGGTTGTTTGAAAAATCGTGCAATAAATTTATGCGCTCTGAAGACTTACTTCAATTGTTCAACTTTTTCGAATACCATCATTTTTCATGTAAAATATTGTGTAATGAAAGGAATAAATGGCCTTAATTATTCTTAATTAATTAAAGCCGTGTGCTTGAAAAAAGAGAAACAAAATCATACTTGACTTCATGAACATTCTTTTGCCTTAATGCACCTTTTCGAACGATGCCTTTACCTTCGATCCGTTGCACTGAAATAAATTTCTTTTTGTGTTTATTTTAAAGAGCCAAATGTCAGCTTTCAAAATATGACCGCTTCTTGATATTGCAGAAAACTGCAACTTTAATAAACCAATTTGTTATAAATCAATTATTTAACATCTACTATGAAATTGCTGTAGAGTTCAGCTATCAAAGCACAGCTTATCACAAAGTTGATTTGAAACATTGCTTCAAAGATTTTTGTAAAAGCGAGTAATTTTAATAACTTGAAGTGCCACACGAACTGAAAGTTCCCGTATGCTCTGAAGTAATTTCCAAGGAATTAAAAATTCCCTGGAAATTATAGGAGCTATCCCTGATTAGTTTTGCATCTTTCAGGTCATTCCACAGAATAACCAATTCTTTTTTTTTTTTTATTATATTGAAAATATTCATAATGCAGTTCTTTTCAAGCTTCAATTCAATTAGTTCCAATACTTCCTCACTTCACTAATTTTGAGTAATTAAAGTACATTTAAATTGACGATGATTTCACCGCAATTTGTTTGAACTGCTTCACAATTAACATTCAATTTTACCAAGAATTGCACTGCTGAAAAAATCAGCTTTAAAAACATTGCAAGATATCAGTATTATAAAGCATTTCTGAGAGAACACATTGAAAAGATAGCCGAAGAAAATGTTCTAAGATATGTTGGTACACTGAATGGAAAGATGAATTTTGAGACACTTCTTTGGCAAATAAAAATGTCGTAAACAAATTAGAAGTCAATAATCTGCATAAAACATAACAATTCAATTAATAGGACAATCAGTGATAAAAAGCGCAGTTAATCAAGTCACAAATGCCAAATGGAGAAAGTGACACAAGTAGAATCCAAAAAAGATTTGCATGCAGTTTTCAGCGAATGGCAACAATTCTCACATTTTCGCAGGGCTTTACGGGTTGATAAAAATTTTAGGTAAGCTTGAGATTTCTTCCGTAGTGCATCCCCAACTCGACGACAACTGGATGGCATTCTTGATTTTCCGCCATGTTCTGCACCATCATGTCGACTGTCCTCATTGTAGTCACTATGTGCATCTAGATTTGCTCCAGAATTAGGCTTTTCAAATTTCTGATACATCAGGTCGGTACTATTGGAAAAAGTAACCGGTAAAATGATCGCATCCAACGAATCAAAGAACTTTGATGATGATCGGTTACATAAACAGCAGTTTCCTGGATGACAGGATGATGATCCTGAGCTGTTGTTGCCGCACAGCGAATTATGCAACAAAATCTCGTCAAAAACAGAAAAGAAGTCATTTGCAGCTAGAATGTCGGAACAGGATGTGGATGTACGTTTCTTTTTTCGATCTTCCTGATCCTGCGATTGTTTATTATCAATGATCAGATAATTGAAATTGGTTCGCCATTCTTCATCCATTTTTGAACAGTCTATCAGCATTAGGTGTTTTAAAATGAGAACTAACGATTATAGCTATTGATGCATTGGATGATAGCACTGTGACTCGCTGAATTAGAATTAGTAATAGATTGGAGGAGAAATCTTCATATATCGAACATACAAATTTGCAATGAATAAATGAAAACTGTATGCTTTGCTCTTCTGAAACGATGAATGCAATTTTTGTCGAAAAGAAATTTTTTTGCTCTGCTTTTCCTTAACATAACAACTCAATGATTCAGCAGTGACCCGTGCACCAACCACGCCATCATGCAACTTTGCCTTGCAACACCATCTCGAGTCATCTATACCTTTCACGAAAGTCTATTCTAACCATTTTGTGCTGACTTATTTCACGGCAAAAAATTCTCAAAAATCAAAACGACCATATATTGATTGAGTAGCAGTAAGCAAGCGAGCATTGGTACATTAGTTTTACTATATGTGTCTATTCATCATGTTCCTATTGTGTCATTTCAATAGGAAAGCACATGTTTCAATACCAGTTTTAGAGGAAATAATTTGCATATGTTATGTGTTACCTCTTATCACCATTTTGAGTTAGTGAAACTTTCAGTTGTATACGGCTCTTCTAAGTAATTTCTGAATTCATAGGAAAACAATGGCGCAACTTTGCTTATTACATTGTCTAAATATCTCTCAATATAAAAGCCACTTTCTAGGAAAAGGATTTAGGTTCTGCCTCCCACGAGAAACTGGCAGGTTGGAGGCTATACTCTTTGAAGAATACGAAGAAAACTGATGTGAATAGATTTCTTAAAAATTCCTCAATAATATGCAAATACAATCTTATTTGAAGAACTAAAATCCAAGTCAGTTGAAATGGAATTCAAGTATGACTTTCAATAGGTGTTTACTGGTCAAACTCCAAGAATTATGTTACTATTAGATTTTTCAAAGTATTATACACTTTAATATTCCAAGTATTACATAACAAGTGGAATAGTCAGATTACTTCATATTCGTTAGATATAAAAACATAATCCTTTCTTTTGAAACATTTTCAAGATTATAAATAATTGAAGCATATCAGAGAGAAATGGACATACCAAAAGCTTCGGAAAGTTTCCTGAGTAATTTGGATGATTCCAGCACTGGGTCGGCTCCAATGGAATGACTTTGAAAATCAGTTCGTCCCATTTTATTAACATTAAGCACTGCTTGGTCAAAATTATGAGTTTGGAGGCTATACTTTTCAGTATTCAAGGTATAAGTACAATCACCGCAATTTGTATCACCGTCAGCTTCCGGAGTGTTAATTGGTTCCATATCATTAGTTGATGACTGATCAACATTAATCGGAACAGCAGATTTCATTGACATATCGATGATGATTTCACATAGTATTCTTTAATATCTGCTGACGAAAAACCGTTTATACGTCTGCTGGAATAGAAAAAATATTTGTAGTTAACATAATCAGAATATGCAAATAAAATAGGTAATTGCGCATCAAAAAAAAAAAAAGGAAAAACAGAAAGGATCCGATTTGCACATAACTTATATACTCGTATAAAAAGGGATGAAATGGGAGAAATGGTTTAACTTAAAATTCTGAAAATGATGAATGGCTTAATAAAGTAAGTATGTAAGCAAATCATAATCCCTAACTCGAATAATAAATACAATTAACATTTCCATTTCGCAGTTGATTATAAAAATTCTTCAGAATCAATTCCGTATATTTCTCCAAATGGAGTAAAAAACTGAAATTGCAAAAAAAATCAAAGTTCTTACAAAATGCTTCACATTATGAAATTAAAACCACAAATTACATGAATCAGTACTTTAAAAAAGAAATTTCCCAAGATGCAGTTTTCCATTTATTCCTATATTTTTAAAAATCCTACTTTATTCACCCTTTTTATTACATTCAAACTTCCCTTACTACAAAAATTAGAAAAGTATAAATGATATTTTTTTTTCTTTTGTTTTCTGAGAAAATATGACTTTTGTGGTGGAAAAAAAGTGTGATTTACCAAAAAGAACATGAAATGACAAGAGCGAAAATCTAATAAATGAAAGAGCTGAAGGATGAAAAATGTTGAAGAAATGTTCATTGAAGCGAAAAAGATGATTCACCGAAAATGTTAACTCGTAGAGCTTTAACTTAAATTCCATCTGCGACTAAAAACAAGGATTAAAAAAAAAAGCTGCCAAGCATAAGTACAGAACAACATGCTTATTAGGTTCATTTTACTTTAGTATTATATTAAGATCCAATAGAACAATCCTTTAAAATGAACACTCTGTCATCTCAGATTTGCGTTCCTCTTTTATTAGTATAATTTGGAATTTCTTTGTGCCCACAAAAAAAGCACATGATGGTTGAAATCTTTCAAGAACTGCGAGCAATATTAATTTGTTGGTTAATAGAAAGAAGATAATAATTAATCCACAATATGACTCATTGATAAATGACCTATGTGGATGAATGCATTAGATCCTTGCTATCCGGACGGGTTCCATACATTTTGGCGTGCAGAAAGGCATGATGTTGCTAAATGTTCCTGAAGCATGCGATTTTTTAGCAGGAGAATTACTCATTGCTTTTCCTTACACAGGCTCCATCACTAAAAACTTGGAGGAATAAAATTAAGTTATCAATACTTCAGCGTTAATATTTATGAGATTAGAATTAAGCTTAGTGTAAACAAGTCTGCTATTGAATGCTTAGGTGTTACCTCTTACCTCTTAGACATTATATAAAAGTTATCCTATATGAACCTAAAAAGATAAAACAGCAGTGGAAAACGGATTGTTGAGCATTTTCATCTAATTTGCTGTAAATTTACGAAAATCCATGTTTGTCCTTCTTCTCTTCCTTATTACTTTAAGCTACCTTTGCAAATCGGTAGCAAAGGAGACTGATATTTCTATCTGAAAGCAAAATCTCAGTTTTCGTGCTTATGCCGTCACTTAAACTGCCAAGCATTTCCAAAGTTATTTTCAGTTATGTTTCTGACGCTTGTGAAGCAGTCATAGATACTTCTATACATAATCCAACCAAGCATTAGTGAAAATTTTGTAATAAATAAATTCTTAATAGATATGTACTAAAGGCGAACACCAAAGAAAGTACGTCCCTTTTTTAAAAAGAAAGATCAAGAATGATTGTTTGTTTGATTGGTAGTTAAAAAAGTACATTAGCATAAATTCCCAAAGAAATGATGGTAAAAATAGTAATTGAAACTGGTACGAACTTGGCATGATGATATTTTTCTTTGACAAATTAACATGAGTATTGGCCCACCTTTTACGGACACAGGAAGTATTCGGTACTGTGGCAGAAAACACTTTGATCACAGTCTGTGTCAACTGGTTACATTTTTTTCGCCGACTCATAAAAATGCTATGATTTAACGATTAATTTTTTAACTTTAACAATCTTCCCAATGTTGTTTCTATTCTGCTGCTGCTTTCTACTGCTACCTGTAGTGCTCGTGCTGACTGCTACACGGTAATTGCGTTTTACACCTTATTATATCACTTTTATCTCGTATCCATTTGTAAAAGTGCGATATTATTTAAATCAAATAAACAGCACCGTCTGATCGATTTTCCTGTGTTGCTGAATATGAATTGATAAAATGAAACATCTTATATTCAATAATTAGTAAATTTCTGGAAACCGTGAATCAATAATTGTTTCCTTCTCAGAATTAGTTTCATGCTTTCTATTTTTAAACTCGCTGAGACAAATTCTCAAAATATATTGTCAAAATAAAATATTTAATTATTTGAATAAATTTTCAAAATGATAGCTTATGCAAAATGTTTGATGCCTTAAAACCATAAAAGCAGTCTCGGCTACAATTTATCATCAAATGCCTGACAGTTAACTGAAGAAGAGGAACAGATGATTTAATTAATAATTTGTTTGTTCAGCTTTTCGTCGGGTTAGAATCAACAAAAAGACATACATTGAAAATTTCTACTCTCACCTTTGATAGAGGATATATAACTATTTGGATAAACTGTAAAGTTTTATAAAGTATAAACTGTTTTTTAAGCAATCTTATGCTTGGTGGTGGTGGTGGTGGTGTGTGTGTGTGCCAGAGACACTCTAATTAATGATATTACTGCACTATCACTATTATATTGCTAAACCATGTTTACAAATTTTCAACCTTAAATGACTTTCCCGATCGCTGCATAACAAAGAGTTTTAAGGAGAACAGAGAATTGTTGCGAAAAGTAAAATTTCGATAGACAAAACCGGGTTTAATTCCTTGAAAGAGAATCTGATGGAGAAGGGAATCAGGTAAAGATAACCAGTTATGTTATGTTGTTTCATGGAGCAAAATTCTTAATGCAGAGGTCATAGGCCAAACACTATCTCAATTTCAACCACTCTGGAAGATTAAATTGAAAAATACATGACTGAAAATATATGATTGAACATATAATTAGAGGGCAGAGAAATATGTGCTCATATATGATTTATTAATGCATTTTCAGAAGAGATTCAGTCTACAAAGCTCATTACCGAGCTGCTGCTCCTATGTCAATAACAGAACGGTTTATTAGAAAGGCTCGTATTTTTCGTATGTAATTTTTTTTTATTATTTAGAAAAAAATATATAGCACAGAATGATTTAGCTGATAGTATTTCGCTGCGAAAATTTCACATAATATTCAAAAGGATTGTTAGTTAATCCAAACTAAATTAACTCTGTGTTCGTATTGTTGTAAAAAAGACATTTGATAACTTAGGTAATTAATAGTTCAGAACCGCAAAAAATGGAAGAACTACCGCAGATTGAAGCAAACAACTGTAAAACAAATTAAACCTAAAAGTTGTCCTATGGATTGAAGAGTTTGTTAGTGTAGCGGAATGATAATACTTAGTAGGTAATGCAGCCAAAGGGAAAAATGAAAAAAGTAGAAGGAAAATGGACTGCAAAATTAGAAAGAGCTATTTTGAATAGTGATTTTGAACAGCAATTTGCTGAGTTTGCCACGTTTCCACTAATATTAGTTTTAGTGTTCAATGAAGTATAATTTTAGTCACAGTGCTCAGTGCTTCTTTTAATGAATTTTATGATTAACACAGTTTATTAAAACTCACTTTGTTTGAGACTACATTGACTTCCATTTTGATTATTCGTTTAGTAAAATCCTACAAACTCTATTAACTAATGGTTCATTAAAACTAAAAGATGCTGATGATTTTATAAAGTTTTAAAATAAGATCATGACTACTACACACTTTATATTTTGAGATAAATTTTGTATAATTTTTTTTTTTTTTTGTATAAATAATATTTTTATAATATTTTGTATAAATTTTGTAATAAATTTTGATACTATTGGTCTTGAGGAAAATATTCTCTGCGATCACAGATATTTGCCCTCTTAAATTTTTAACCAGCAGTAATAATTGACGAAAATTTTCCTTCATCAATGTTTCCTCGAATTAATAGTTAAAGTGAGGTATTAAATACTCTGCCTTCGGTCAGGTTCAATATATTACTAAAGATTGGATGATAAGCTTTAACAGACAAATAAAGAGGATCGATAAAATTACTAAAATTCTTCTTGAATTTACATTTTTTAAAATATGTTTTTGTTTAAATGCTTGCTATTAATGCAAATTCTTGAAAAAAAAAAAAAAACATAAACAACGGTTATTTTTTGCAAATGAGCATTAGAAAAGCTTATGAAGAGGTTATCTCATTTATTTTGTGAAAAAATGTAAATTCAAGAGAAAGTATGACTAAATTTCTTTACAGATATAGTAATGTTTATGCTTATTCATGCGAACCATTGAACCTTTATTAAGTTCGCATGTATCCTGGATGGCATCATTTTCTTGCTTTCACTTTGAACTGCAGCAAGCCTCTTTACATGACAAACTTATGCTGACGATGTTCAACTTCCCAAGGCAAAGATAACGATGCTAACTGTTAAAGGTGTCAGTGCCACTGTTACTCATTCTCGCAAACATTCAAAAATGTATTCCAACTATGCAAAAAGTGTCACATACCAATTTAATATAGAGATGAAATTGAAAAGTTCAATAATTAAACACATAAGTCTTTAAGGGCGGACATATCAAAAACAAATGAACCAATGAGGTCAGAAATCTTGGCTTTGATAAAAATTTTTGCTGACATTTTAAGGTATTGTACACAAATGTTTTGAAATGATGGTTATTTGCATTTTCTAAGTCTTATTTCTTCAAGTAGAGCTACCTATTGCTTTGCTTCCCAAATTATTTCCTTTTAGGGAAACAGCTGCTTACAGCGATGAAAAGCCTTATCAATGATTAATTATCAATAGAGTAGGATAATATCGAGTTCTTAGCACAATTGTATTTT